CAGGCAAGCACCCTTCCTGTGGAAAAGAATGCCTTGTCTCCACCCCGAGCTCCGGCTGCCAGGACCTTGGTCTGCAACATGCGGGGTGTGTTCTTCCCCCACACTGCAGCTCGGATAAGTTAGGCTTCTGAGGGGCGGAGGGGGGGGGGGGGCAGGTCTGTCGCGGCAGCAGAAGTGCTTTGCTGTGCTGTGATATCTATAAACTCATCTGAAACAACAAGCGCCAACAAAAACATGCTGGCTAAGCTTCCACGAGGCAACCAAGTACGAGGCTGTGCGTTCCGAGCTTGCTTCGCCACTTTAAGGTGGTTATGCATTCTGCCGCTTTCCGTCGCTGCTCTTCACCCCTCTCTCGCCTTCGTACTGGTGGGGTGAAGCCTGCACTGGGTGGGTTCTGCCGCACGCAAGCTCAGGGCCTGACCAGCCTGGAGAACGCAAAGTGAGCCAGGCACCCGATGGCCTTAAGTGCTCAAGTGCACAGCAAGAAGACATAAAAGACACACAAAAAACAGCACAAACGTCACCTCAGCAGTTAGTCTCAAGACAGCTTAAAAAACCCAGCATAGAAGTCTGTTCGTATAGGACGATGCTACGCAACCCCTGGTCCGAGCTTCTTCCCCTGGGCCGCCGGCACTGCCGACACCTGGAACACCACCACCACTGGAACCGACTCGCCGGAGCCGGCGGCACCTTCACACGCGGAACATATTATTATTATTACTATTATCATTATTATTATTATTATTATTAATTTTTATTATTCTTATTCTTATTAGGGCTCAATAGGGCTCAGCTCGTGTGAGGTCAATGTCACACATACGGGATGTACAGGGTGCCGGGACAAGTCGCGCCTGCGAACATGACGGAAAAGATTCGCTTCTCCATCTCTCGCAGATACAGCGGAAAGGGCCTGGAACATTCGCGACAGATGTGAGCAATTCGAAAGCACGGGTCACTGATCTTCGTTTTATGGGGCCACATGGGAACCGGCCGCAGATGAAGGCTCTACGCCGAATTCGTGTGTTCTGTAAGGCTGCCGCGCGGTGTCTGTTGGGCTTCGTGGAATATCCTTTCCCAGATGCCGAGTCCCCGAAGTCTAGGGCCACTTCGTGCGCGCGAAGCTGCGGCTAAACCAGAGAAGTGACTACGTTGTCCTCGCAGATGGAGAGGAGTGGCTGCGCAGCATTGCTTTCCAATCGGAGCGCCTCAAGAAGTTGTCGGGGAGTCCAACTCTCTCCGACCCAAACCGATATGTCTGGATGCCTGAGTTTCGGACCCAGCCTGGCTGGTAAGCAGAGGCCTCATTTCCAAGTGGGCCACGAAGTAAGCTAGACATGTGCACATTTCATCCTGCATGAGATTGTGTGAGTTTTGTCACTATCACTGTGACCATGGTAACTTTCCCTGCCTCAAGCCTATGTCTCAGCCTACGCATGGCATCAGAGGGGCCTGTTGCGATTCGCCCTGTGAAGGGTTCGCAACTGCAACCTGCCACACAAAGCTCACACTAGCGGGACATGTTTCAAGTTCTTGGACACAGCTTGCAGCAGCTGGCTGGTCCTCCCCCACCCCAGCCACCCCTCCCCCCTCCCCCACCCCGGCCCCCCCCCTCCTCCCCCTGCAGCCTCGAAGCCATAGCTGTCGCCCGAGTTGAAGACGAAGCCCACCCTCAGTCCAGCAGCGAGAGGGTCTCCTAGTCTAAGCCTGTTGCCTGGGACCCCAAAGTAAGACACAGGTTCGCATACAACAGTATAGGAAACTCATGCGCTCAGGCTCCACACAAGCTTCAGAAGCTTGTCGGCTCGCCGGTTCGATGAACAACGTGTGAACTGCTTGTCATGTGAACATGGCCAGCATCATGAAGCCGCTGTAGCAAACGCACTTAACTCAAACATGGCTGGTTCTTTATACCCCCTCAAAGAGGGATCCTGCCCTGAAAACTAGGTGTCTCTCTCCTACGACTCATTTTCCCAGACCTAAGAGTACCCCTACGATTCCCCAAATTAGTAGCATCCTGAATCCTAATTGCAGGAACCCCAAATGCACGAAGGTGATGAGTGCACGGTTTGAAATCAAATATACTAGCCATAAGGTGAACCAGCTTTTTCCCTTGAACTTTAACACTATGGTGCCCCGATATTTTCGGAAACCCTAAACCCTAAACCCTAAACCCTAAACCCTAAACCCTAAACCTTAAACCCGGTCTGCCAGATTCAAGCTTCAAGTGCCCGACGGCAACTCGCACCGCACGTCGGTCGGAAGAAGCACCTCAAGGGACAGCTTTGCAGAAGCTTTGCAGCGGCTGCTGTCAAGCCAACGTGACAAATTTTGGGTAAACCCTAAACCCTAAACCCTAAACCCGAAACCCGAAACCCTAAACCCTACTTCTGATCCCTTCTTAAGTTCCCGAAATATTCGGGGCCGCCCTGGAATAGTTAACACCAAAGAGGGGCCATGATTTAGAGAAGTGACCGAAGCAGATTCTCAACTCAGAGCCACGCCGAGCAGGCGGTTCCAGCCATTCCGCCCTCTAGGGCCGGAGGCAGCCCTCTCCTGGCGTACGGGTGCAATCCATAAATTTTGGGACTTGGGATGTTCCCCCTGATTCTAACAGCTCCTGAATGGGGAATTCGAGTACCCCATTAGAATCATTAGAATCCCCATTCAGGACTGTTAGTACAAGGGGGAACATCCCAAGCCTAGCACACCGAACCCTAAAACCCCCACAACCCCAAAGCCAAAGTCCCAACTTCTAAGGCATCAAGGAAGTGTAAGCCCACATGGGCATTTCCCAACATAGGGGTACCCCTAACATAACCCCAAGTACTCTCATCCTTATTCTAGGAACCCCTAAACCCTAAACCCTAAGCCCTATTTTCGGAGACCCCCCAGATGAGGCAGCCGCAGAGGCTGAAACTGCACGCCCGAGAACAGGAAAGCTGCCGGCCTCTGGGGGGCTTTGGGGGAGGGTACTTTGGGATGTTCGGGTTTAGGGTTTAGGGTTTAGGGTTTAGGGTTTAGGGTTTAGGGTTTAGGGTTTAGGGTATACCAACAGCTCCTTCATGGGATTCGAGTAACCCCCCCTAATATAATCCCTATTAAGGACTGTTAGTATAATGGTGAACATCCTAAAGGTTACTAAACAATGGGACTACTCTGCCATGGGGCAAAAACACACTCCGCATTGAAAAGTAATCAGCTGGGGAGCTTGAAGGGGCTTAGGAAAGTTTCTTGGAGTTTGCAGGGTCTAGGGAGTTTACGGCTGTACCCTCCAGGTCTCGAGCGCGCGAAGTCGGAGTGCGAGGGGTTGAGGAGCGGTCGCAAGATCCAGCCCTCGCCAAAACCAAGGGACCATCTGAGGCTTCGTGACTTGGGGATCTGGGAACATGACAGGCCCGTTCAGGCCCTACACTTAAGACTGCAAAGGAGACCTGAAAGGGCTGGTAATCAGGGTCTCTTGTTTAGGGGACCATGGACATGGAAGACTAATGCTTCCAAGCTGCCAGCAGGCACCGAGAAAAACACCTCAAGCTGATGGCCCTACGCATGGCTGGGTTTAGAGATTAGGGATTAGGGATTAGGGTTTAGGGTTTAGGGTTTAGGCTGGCGAACCCTCCAACCTATGACATCTGCACAGCTTCCAAGTCTGACAGCTTCTAGATTGGGACCGGTAATTGTCATAGTAATAGTAACAGTAAGAGTAACAGTAACAGTAGCAGCAATAGTAATAGTAATAGTAATAGTAATAGTAATAGTAATAGTAATAGTAATAGTAATAGTAATAGTAATAGTAATAGTAATAGTAATAGTAATAGTAATAGTAATAGTAATAGTAACAGGAATGGTAATGGTAATGGTAATGGTAATGGTAATGGTAATGGTAATGGTAATCGAAATAGGAATAGGAATAGTAACCGCCGCAGGAGCGGCCAGAACACACAGCCAAGTGTGGAGCTACAAGTGTAGGCAGAGTTTCCCCTGCCGCACCGCGCACAGTGACTGCAGAGCAACACACGACTCCGGCAGACATTGTGTAAAACTCACGTTCGCAACAGGACGTGCCGCAAACGCACATGCAATGAACACACTTCCGAAAGACCGAAAGGCACACGGCTGACAGAGCACCTACCCCTGAGCATCATGGGTGGACAGATGTTGCCGAAAACGGAACCCAGCGCTGACCCCCCACAACCCTACACTCTAAACCCTAAACAGCTCAGGAGCCTGGATCTGGTGGCTTGCACCTGAACCAACACTGTTTCGGCTTGATGGTTTTGTGCTTCGTGCTGAGGGCTTAACATGCCTTGGAGCTGTTCTCAGCTAGGATCGGCTAGGGATCTGGCCCAGCAACATGGATGAAGGCGCCAACCTGTCAACAAGGAGAAGCAGCCACGAATCTCTGGATCAAGTCATGTCCGATGTGGGGGTTTACGAAAATAGGGGACCCGCAATATAGACCCCCCAAATACTAGGATTCCCTGATGACATGGACCTCAAGAAGTGGTACCCTTTTATTTCCGAAACTCCCATACAGGACTTGTAAGGGTCGTGCGAGCATTGTTGAAGTGCCATCACAACAGCGAAGGCGCCGTCTTCGATGGAAATCACCTGTAAATGACAGAGAAGCAGTGACAGCAGTGACGGCTTCGGAGACTTCCCTGCTACAAAGATGTGGGGGGTTTCCGAAAAAAGGTACCCGTAATATGGTCCCCAAATAGTAGCATTCTCTTGTACTTAATACCCCAATAAGAATAAAGTACCCCTATTCGGAAACCCCCCATGCGGTGCTTCTCATGGCAGTTGTCCTTCTGAACGCTGACTGGCGCAGAGGTGCCCGGGAAGCTCGCACTGAATTGCAGCTGCACATCCCTTGCAACAGTGCACTGTTAACAATGGAAGCTGGAGAAAGGTCCATGCCCGGAACATGCACGGGGCGTTTTTTTTCAAGGCACAGAACAGCTAAGCTTCAATGCCACTGCGTCTCTGCCCCTGTATCAGTATTACATGAAGCGTGCCGAGCGCACCAGGTATTCTGCGACGTCATGGAGGAAGGGTTCTGAACCTTCAGTTCAGAAACCCTAAACCCTAAACCCTAAACCCTAAACCCTAAAACCCTAAACCCTAAACCCTCAACCCCAAACCCTAAACCCTAAACCCTATAAGCATAAGATCCAGCAGAAGATTGTGGCGACTTCTCTGGGGAGCCGACATCCATGGAGTAGGTGTAGGTGGCAGCCTCGCAACTAGTCGGCAGCGTTCCTAGTACTATACGAATGTATACTATTGTATGATTCTATAATAGGATTTTGCGGTATTAGACTATTATATTTTGCTATTTTGCAAACATAAATGATATGATCATACTATCGTATAATGTCTTACATGATTGCGAGTGTGAAGTGGAGGCTCTTTAGCCCTCGCGCCTGCCAAAGAACCGTACTGCCCGGCACTGTCAGCGTCACCACGCTGGTGGCTGGAGGGCCTCAGCCGAAGAGTCAAAGCTGATTCCAATGGCTACACCTTGCCATCATGTGGTGCGACGCCCATAGTGCGCGCCTGCAGCAAGTACAGGTAGCGGCGCGTGCCTCCTGACCTGAAAGAGTTGGAGTGTAGAGTCAAGTGCACAAACCCGGATGGGCTATTAGGCCCTATAATCCCTATAACCCTATAAAGGGTATTTTTAAGGGGGTATAGGGTATAATAGCCCATGCTGGAAGGGATCCACAGCCACGGCTCAGCGCACGGCTAGGCTTGCGTTCGCTTGCGAGCGCATGCCTCCACAGGCTTCGGGAAGCCCATCCATCCCAATGTCATGCATGCAAGATCATGCGGCCGGAGAACAATCATCTTAATCAGTTTAGGGTTTAGGGTTTAGGGTTTAAGGGTTTAAGGGTTTAAGGGTTTAGGGTTTAGGGTTTAGGGTTTACCGCTGATTATGATAATTACATTATCGCAGGTGGTATAAATTTTTGAGAAGGCTGTCCACTGCGGTTCGCAAGTGCGAACAATGAGATGAGGATGGCGGTGGTTGTGATGATTGCTGAGAACATATGCTCTAATCACGTTCCTATAACTTCAATCTTCATGTCATTTTCAATACAAGTAACCATAAGCCCTAAAGCCCAAAGAGCCTTCAACAATGGTTCCTCTCGGCTCTTGTTATGGCCTGGCCTGCAGGTGTAGGCCCATGGCCCGTGACCAAGATTCCAGCCGGTGGCCTCATGGGTAAGGAGCCGACATCAGGTTCGTCATACGCCCCTGTTCGGGTCAAAGGACCCCTCATTAGTTTTCGATCCCACACCCCCCCCCCCCCCCTTCCGTGCTGCTAAGCACTACAAGGCGAAACCCTGCTGCATCCTGTTGCTACATTGCAAGATGTGACAGGCCGTGTGCTTCGGCCGAGCGGCGTGATTTGCAGGGTCGCCCCACGCGCCACGAAGCCCAAGCGAACTAGGAGCTCCACTTCTGGCAGGGCATTCATCCAGAGACAACCGAACAAGCTGCTCTTCTTTGTGAGATTGAAAAGCCGGTGAGATTGAACAAGCGCCGAGTGCACGCTGGCTGGCACCACCCATGAGTGAGGAAGGCCTCTCAGGATCTTGAGACAAATCAACTATTACCATGTTGGCATGTCGCCTTGCAACTAATTTGCACAGGGATGTGACGCAGGGCAAATGGCGAAGCGACGAACCCGAACCTAACGACCCCTTCTGAGAAGTATTGGGGCTCGTGCACAAGAGTCAAGCCACTGAGCTCGCTCGGCGGCAAGCTGAAAGAGGGAGACCTCGAACAATTATGCTATCTGGTATTGTCAGGTCTCCACCTCCGCACAATGTGATGATGCTGGCATTGGCGAGCGAGAGAGAGAGAGAGAGAGAGAGAGAGAGAGAGAGAGAGAGAGGGAGTGGGAGAGAGAGTGAGGGAGAGAGTGTGGGGGAGAGAGAGTATGGGAGAGAGAGTGTGGGAGGGAGGGTGAGGAGGGAGGGTGAGAGGGAGGAGGGGGGTGAGAGGGAGGGTGAGAGGGAGGGAGGGGGGTGAGAGGGAGGGTGAGAGGGGGTGAGAGGGAGCGAGCGGCTTTAAACCGATCTATTAGCGCCACATTGTGTTGCAAACCCTCTGCGTCGCACTGTGATCACGGCTGCAGCTTTGCGACATCCTTAGCTGTCCAAATATTGCAGAGAGTCGTAATTACAAATGTCTGTAGGAGCCATGTCTGCAAATGTGCGTCCGAACTCGTTGATCGTCGCAGCTCTGCCCAGACGTAGGCATGCGCGGCAAAGCCTGCGACACAACTTCGACTGCAAGGCTTCGGCTAAAGCTTGCGATCAACGGAAGGACCTGGTGACTCTGCAGATTCAGCGTGCCCGCTACCAGATGGTGCGGCTTCGCCGTCATAACACCCCATCATAACCCCCCATAAAGAACTCCCCATCATAAGCTCCCCCCCCAATACTAGCCTACCATAATCAAACCCAAGAATAACCCCCCCCCTGCGTAATAGCAAGAAAACCCCATCATAACTCCCCCCCCCCCCTCCCCTAACAGCCTCCCAGAATGAAACCCCATAAGGACCTCCCATCATAGCCAGGTGCCTGTGGCGAGGCCTTGCAAGGGAGATGCGGCGGCAAGCGCGAGGCTCACCTCCAGGCTTCCCATCCTCGGCTCGGGGATCGTTTCAGTCGAACTTTCCGTGAACTTTGGCGCAGGGTTTAGGGTTTAGGGTTTAGGGTTTAGGGTTTAGGGGTTAGGGGTTTAGGGTTCAGGATTTAGGGTGCAGGGTTTCAGGGGTTACAAAAGTTGCCTTCCAAAGGCAGGCCAAGAGGCGAAGTCCAGCCCGGGAGCTGCAGATCCAGCACTGTCGCAGGTAGACCGGCGCGGGTGCTCAGAGTCAGGCTGACGCCTGGCACAATTCCAAGAATCAGAATTCGGGGTATTTTAGGGGTCCCCTGTTTTCGTAACCCCCCCCCCCATTTTTCAGCATCCCAAAACCCCAAGCCTAACACCATCGCCCGCAATCTCGAAGCCCTTTGCTGGACATATCCTGATATCATGGTAAGATCTAGGAAGCGACTCTTTCAGTCCGGATGAGGGGCCTGAAATGCTTTGGCTGCCTGCCGGCTGCCCTGTTGCGTCTGCACTCGACCAGTATTGGACAGATGCTGCCACAGAAGACCTCGGTGAGCCCGTGGGATTTTCGACAAAGAAGCTTCGTAACCCTAAAAAGCCATAAACCTCCAACCTGGAGGCTGCTCAAGAACAGTAGCTCCTGACCAAATTTCTCTTCACGGATGTGGATGTACTTGGGCTCTGAAACCCCGCAACATCGGCCTAGACTCGACCCCTAAAAGGCCCCGAATGTCTCCAGGTCTCTTAATCGTAATTTCTTCTCCTGGGTGATTGTATTTTGCTATTAGTTTCGGCACCCGGTACCGACAAGCCACCCAATGCCCTAAAACCGAAATGATAATTTTTGAGACTGCGCCTGCTTTGAAGTTGTTTTTCCCTGGGCTCGTCCCGCCGTCCAGATGTAGGGTTCCCCAATCCGCCTTCAAGTTACTTACGCCTCCTTGTTGTCCATGCCAAGACCGTGATCATACCTTCAGTATTCAGACCTCATTTGTGACTAAAAACTCAACTTAAGCCTCCTTGGGCTTAGGGCTTCTTAATGCTGTGGGAGTTTCCGAGGGTCCCGAAGACTCGTAGACTCACTCTGCGTAACAAGGCTTGAAAAGGGCGCTCAGATGACAAGACTTGAAGATCACAACCTTGCAAAGAAGGGGATCATCGAGATCCAGATCACAACCCTTGCAGAACCCTTGCACGAAGGGCAGGAATAGGGTGAGGGCAGGAATAGGGTTGCGCTCTCTACTCTCCCTCCTCCCATTAAGTTTGAAACTCCTCCACTTCTCAGGTGCCAAGACTTTATTGGCAAAACCTCAACCCTCAACCCAAAACCCTCCTAAACCCTAAACCCTAAACCCGAAACCCTAAACCCTAAACCCAAAATAACAGGGTCCTGGTAGACTTAAGGACCTTGTCTTTGCCCCAGCGGCCCCTCGACGCTCCAAGCTTGCGGGCCGAAGCTGGGAAGGAAGACCATGCCTTTGGGTTTAGGGTTTAGGGTTTAGGGTTTAGGGTTGAGGGTTTGAGGGTTTGAGGGTTTGAGGGTTTGAGGGTTTGAGGGTTTGAGGGTTTGAGGGTTTGAGGGTTTGAGGGTTTTGAGGGTTTTGAGGGTTTTGAGGGGTTTCAAACCCCTTGACGAAGTAATCCCCGCAGGGTGAAAAGAGCATTCTTTTCCCACACACCCAACCATCTCAAAACACATGCACTTGGCCTGTGTTTTCCTGGGTTTTTGGGCACTTTTCTGTCTTTGGAGGGGTTTTTCGGGAATCCAGCCCGCCACAACAGGACCTAGCCAGGTTAAGCCCTCTATGAGTTTGAGGGTTTGAGGGTTTGAGGGTTTGAGGGTTTGAGGGTTTGAGGGTTTGAGGGTTTGAGGGTTTAGGGCTTGATTTTGTTCTTTTGTGGGGGGGGGGGGGGGGAGGGGCGTTTGGGGTTTAGGGTTCGAGGGACTTTTGGGGGTTTGGGTTTGGGGGTTTAGGGCTTAGGTTTAGGTTTAGTTTGGGGCTTGGGTTTACGGCTGTGCTGGAGGCGTGGGCTTTGGGGTTTGGAGAGAGTGGTTGAGGGGTTTGTGGTTTAGGGTTTAGGGCTTAGGGTATTCAAGAAAAGGCCCATCGGGGCACTCTAGAGGTATTGGGCCGTTTGAAAGAGGCCTCAGGGGTCTTTGCGTTTAGGGATGTCAGACTGCGCCGACGCGCGACACAAAAGAGTTCAAGTTCTGAAGACGTGCAGTTGGTGGCGCATGGCTGACGTAAAAAAAGCCCTCAACCTACCTAAGAACCGATGACCTTCAAACTGCCGGGCTGCGAAGCTTCTCGATGGCCCCGGAGCCAAGAAGGCCTTTCATGGTCAGTCGCGTGGTGCTGCCAGGGGCGACCTCCTGTCAAAGTGCATGGGAGTGTTCTCTGGGGGGGGGGCCTAAACCCTAAACCCTAAACCCTAAACCCTAAACCCTAAACCCTAAACCCCTAACCCCTAACCCCGAAACCCTAAACCCTGAACCCTGCCTTTCCGGGAACAAACCTCTCAAACGCATGTCGTTAGTTGAGACCCAGCTCCAGGGTTGCCGCGCTGCCCAGCGAGCGCAGCTCCAGAACCCCACCAGGTTCCTGAGAAGCGGAGGGAGCTAAGGATGGGTCCCGAAACCTACGTCCTTTCCCCCCCAAACCTCTCGAAGCCCCTTAAGAACACTGAACCCTAAACCCTAAACCCTAAACCCTAAACCCTAAACCCTAAACCCTAACCCTAAACCCTAAACCCTAAACCCTAAACCCTAACCTTCAAAGCCCGAAGCCAGGAGACGCGGATGTCCAATGGAGAGGATTCCAAGGCCTGGCTTCCGCAGCGCAGGGTCAGCGCCAGGGCGGCGGCGCTGGCGGCCTGCACATGGCTTTTTGGGGCTTCGGGTTTAGGGTTTAGGGTTTAGGGTTTAGGGTTTAGGGCTGGGATGCTTCCCCTTATACTAACAGTCCTTAAGAGGGACTATCATAGGGGGTACGAGAATCCCTATGAAGGACCGGGTAACATCCCAAGCTTAGGGTTTGGTGGTTTTAAACGCACCTGACGGAACGCGTCTGCAGAGGCTGCCTCCAGCCCCAGAACTTCCGCGAGAAGTACGATGGCATACCACTGCCCTGTTTGTAGGGTCGGCAGACCCGCGGCATTTCCGAAGGCAATGTTAATGGTGTCACCTGGCGCAGATGCTGCAGCATAAAGATAAACGGGGTTTCCGAACATAGGGGTACCCTTTTGGGGCCATAAGGGGATTCTATTCTATTTGCGATATAAAAGGGGTACGTACCCCTGTTTGGGAAATACCCAAAGAATATGTTTGAAGTTTCGCTCAGGCATTTTCTATCATCATCTGCACCCTAAACCCTAAACCCTAAACCCTAAACCCTATAAACCCTAAATGGCCGCGCCTTTCACCGTCATCGAGTCCCAGGAGCAAGAGCTCGGAACGGGAAACTCCGCAATGCTGCCGAAAACCTCCAGCAGAACCTGGCCGTCTGTGTATGCATGGGCAATAAGGGGCCCCTAATAGAGTCCCCCAAATAGTAGGATTTCTTCAAAATAAGGACCCATTAGGGCCCCCCCCCCCTAATTTCGGAAACCCCCACATCTATGCGCATGCATCTTCTTGATGGGAGCTTCCTGCTGTTACTTGTAGCTTTGCGCAGCGTCTCCGCGCAAGGAATGCACATGACAACGGATATGTGGCCCCTGCCTCCGCGCACTCGGCATCTTGCGTGGCCCTGGCAGTGACAAGAACTCAGTATCCTGCAAATTTTGCAAAGCCCAAAGCTCCGGAATGACGAAGGGTTCACAAAGCTAAAGTCGGTGCTTGCCGCGAAGCTCTTCCACTCAGATGGGGAGTGTTACAGTACATGAAACTGTCGAGATCCCTTTCTGCCAATGCAGGGAAGAAGCCGTACGTAGCTTCAATTACGTTCGGTTCCCTGTAGCACCGAGCCGCATCCTCTTTACAGGCGAGGTTTCGTTGACCTGGGGCCGACCCACCTTTAAAGATGCACTGAGGGTCGCTCCGCGGCTTCCAGAACTGCGATTCCCGCTTAGGCTACCTCATGCAGTAGGGCTCTTGAGCCCCCAAGATGTCTAAGAAGGGTTTAATTAGGGTTTAGGGTTTAGGGTTTAGGGTTTATGCTTTCATTCTGCCCTACTGTGCATCATCTGTGAACGCAAGGATTTTCTCAGCGAGACTTCCCAGCATGAAAAGACTTGGGAGCTCGAGTCTCGAGGAGCTCATGTGAAGGTTGCGGCCCTACTTCCTGCAGATGTGCCAGACACCTGGTGAGCTGATGCTTACCTTACTTTTGGTTAGTAGGGAATGAGGGAATGGGGTACCCGATATCCCCCTATAAAGATTGCTTTAAGGGATTATGTAGGGTACCTCATTCCCTCATTCCCTACTAACCAACAGTAAGTTGCAGCAGAACCCTTGAGTCAAAACAGGCTGGCGACGCGTGAGGGGAGTGCCCGAAGCCGAGCGCAGAACCAACAGCTGCTCCCTGCCAAGCAGCGGCCAGCCGATGATGCTCACACCATGTTCTGTGCAGACCCCGATCCCTAAACCCTAAACCCTAAACCCTAAACCCTAAACCCTAAACCTCGCTGCAAGCTTTTCGCGCTGCAAGGTCAGCGTGCTTGCGATGGGCTGTCAAAGTGAGCGTCATCGCACAGTTGGACTTCAACCACGAAGGAAAACTATATGAAGTAGGGCTCATATTTCTGGTATCCCCGAAAGGACACAATCACCAATATCAAAAAAGGAATCTTATATACACTCACCAATAGCAGTAATATAAATAAACCCTACTTCAAGTGCGCTGAGCGGCCGTCGGAACTCAGGAAAGCCAAACATCTTTCTGCTGGCTGAGACTGGACTTTCCTCACCATGAAGCCCTGAAGACGCTAAACCCTAAACCCTAATCCCCTAAATCCCTAAACCCTACATCCTAAACCCCTAAATTCCTGAACCCCACGATTACATGCAGAGAAAACCATGTTTTGCACAATTTAGGTTTAGGGTTTAGGGTTTAGGGTTTAGGGTTTAGGGTTTAGGGTTTAGGGTTTAGGGTTTAGGGTTTTAACAAATATTCGTAGCTTCGGCATCGAACCCAGCCTTGATACCTGGAACGACCGGTTCGATCGCTTCCAAGCGAAACTTTAGGGTTTAGGGTTTAGGGTTTAGGGTTTGGGGTTTAGGGTTTAGGGTTTAGGGTTTAGGGTCTAGGGTTTACTTCTTCATACAGCCGCTCTCCTCGCACTCTGAGAAGGTCTCCGACTTTCGTCTGTTTTGTCCACATCGGCTCCACAAAGTAGAGGAAGCCTGATGCCGGTTTGATATGTAGTAAGGGTTTTGGGTTTGGGGTTCAGGGTTTGGGGCTAGGGTTTAGGGTAAGGTCTTGCAGGTCGGAGGCTATGGCTCAAAGGTCTCGACTAGGCGTTCTCAATTGCTGGAGTCCACACTCGCGTTCGGTTCGGTATGCTTTAGAATGGACTTGGTCTCAACCACTTTCGAATTCTAGACAGTGTGCAGTGCGAGGGGGTGGGTCGTCACCGAGCAGCCCCACACACACAAGTCAAGCCATCGGCACTTTTCACGATTCCGCCTGGATCCGAACTTAAAACCCTGCTCGGAAGCAGGGCAGGAACACTGCGCACTTTGGTGAACTGGTGCAAAAACCGGGGTGTCTGCTTGGCTACACCAGCAAACCCTCCAGCTCCTCTTTCATTCCGAGAATGAGGAAGGACCCTACGGTCGCCATAATCAGCGCGAGGGCAAAGTTCGTCGCGAGGAGTGCTGCACATTCACGGGGTGTCAGGCAGAGGAAACCCTCTACACCAGACAGCCCTGTGTTGACCGTCTCAGGGATCTGTGCCCTGGCCTTTGCAGTGGCGTAAGGCTGGCAGTGCATGCCGGGCAGTGACAACTGGTTCAAGGCCTTCCACACTGCTGCAAGGGTGCAGCCCCCTTCCATGCTCCCCCTCTGCTGACGCATCCAGCGCATGCCCCATGCCACGATGAACTCCGTCAAGATCATACCGAACCCTGCCACACTACACACAACGTAGGTGGCCGGCCGGTAAAGATACCGACACGTCGGTGAAGCCCGCTCGCAGCCATACACGGAGTGAGCGGCTAAGTTTGCGAGCATGTAGAGGAGACATGCAAAAAACATGATCGCCCAAGACAAAATTGCTGACACGGAGGAAGTGCGGAGGACCAAGTCCCTGAGACTCTCAACTTCGCGAATCTCGGGAGGCTGCCAGCCAAATTGACGCGCCACATTTCGCCTCACAAGAAGAATCAGAGTGCCAATCACATTGAAACGACCAAGGATGGCGAATCCAGCATGCGTCGCAACAGACACTGCACCACGCCGTACTACTTGGTAGTTCGTGCCCTGACCAAAGGCCAGCATCAACACCAGTCCAGCATAGTAGAAGCCTTCTGAGGAAACTGCAACGGTGGTCGTGGCAGACGTCAGCCATAGAGCCGTGCAGTCGCGTCGACCGGGGAAGTATGTCCAAGTGAGATTTACGAACTGGCTGAAGAGAGTCTTGTATAGGATTGCGACAGTTGGGTAGAACATGTCCTGCAGGTCCTGATTTTGGATGTTGCCTCGCAGAGACACGAGGTAGCTGCCCAGAAAGAGGCTCAAAGCGCCCATCACACGTACCACCATGCCGGCGCCTATTCCAAAGAGCTTCCTGTCTCCGAAAGGAAGATAGATCAAGGGCGTGCAGAAAGAAGCAATGATGTTCGACCGGGACTGGAATGGTCCGAAGAAGTACTCCTCTCTCCTGCAAACAGCAGCCAGTGCAGAGACAGTTCAGCCAGCACAGCCCAGGTAGGGACTTTGCCCATACCCAACTTGGACAGCTGCCATGCCTGCACCATTGTTGCGGTACTGTAAAAAATGATCAGTTTCGCTCCTTGTCGTGTTTAAGTACTCATAAACATGTAAAATGGTTCTCAGCAGCGACCCAGATGCAACTTGCCAGGTTCCCAGGGTAAGGGTGCTTGCGATCGCCACAGCTGCCGTGATGCGGAAGCCACTCCAGAGGGCAGCCCGGTAGGAGCCACCAAGAAGAATGATGGTAATCACGTTCCCCCAGAATTTCGGTGCAAGACGTCCACAGAGAATGCTAGAAGGGCTGAAGGTCAATTCAGCTGGGTAGTATGTGGAGGCGTCCTTTGCAGCTGCCTCGTCGACCACCACAGCTTCAAGGATACCTTCCGCTTCTGCAGGCGCTGTCATCTCGAGATTCTCAGCCGGTGGCATGTTGATAGCGATCTTTTGTTCACTGGCATCCTCTGGGTGCTCGGGCGACTCTGGCGGGTGGCAGGGCAACTCGCCTGCAACTGCCACTTCGGGCTTCTCATCGCTGATGCTGCTCCTACAGCAGGTCTGTGCACTTTGTGCAGTTCCCATACTGTCCCACACCAGCAGCCTATCAATCAGCTTGAGCCAGAAGCTGTTGTTTCTGATGTGTCTAGACACCTGAGAATGCCACCTGGCGCCCTCCCCCCCCCCTCGTGCTCTATAGGAGCTCTCTTGAACACGAAGCTGGCCTGCCGACAGCTCCAAGATGCTGCGAGGCCATTCCCAGCGTTGCCCCTATCAAGTCGATCAGAGAGCTGAGGGCTGAGGGTCCAAGGGTTCACAGTTGACACAGGCTGACCAGGCTTGGAATTGCAATGCCAGTGCCCTGGGGTCCACCCTAAACCCTAAGCCCTAAACCCTAAACCCACCTGCGTTGCGACAGCACTCAGCCCAGCGCCTTCAGTGGCGAGCGCGGCCGCGGCCGCGGCCCCGCTGTTGCCGCGCCGGGCTATGGTGCTTGCCAATGCTGCGGCCAGCTGCCCCGACACAGTTTGCAAGGCCGGCAGAGCATAGGCCCACCTGAGTTGTCCAGTATCCTGGGTAAGTAAAGGTCAACCTTTGGGATGATAAGTAATCATGAGGGGAATATACTCTTCCCAAAAGGGTCAAAGGTTACCTATTCTCCAACTAAGCCACATTGCAGGCCGTGGCTGCGTGGTAGCCAACACCTGAGGAGGATTTCTATATGCTGCCACTAATTCGTGCCCAACTGTGCTCACAATGACGCCAAGGCCGGCACGAAAGCTCTGCTTCCTCGGTTGTGGCAGGACACTAGCCCATGCAGGCCACTTGTGCTTGTCGATGTGTTGAGCTTCGCTTTCCATTCCAATTTGGTGAACGTTGGGCGGAGTGCGGGTGCTACGACCTTTTATTTAGTGCCTTAAACCTCCTTGGGGAGTGCAGGCGCACCCGAAACATCCCAACCCCTGCTGCTGTCAAGGGGGCTTTGTGACTTTCGGGCAGGAGCTTCGGCGATTTCGTGGGCAATTGCTTGGGAAAGCCAGATCTTCATCACAGGCACCACGACTGTTCAGGTGGGGAGTAGCCACTTGGGGGAGGAATGACCGAAGCCCAACAAGCCATGTCCAGCCAAAGTGCTTGGTTTTGTGGTGGAACATCTGCATCGCCACGTAACTCGGCAACACAAAGCAATGTCTGTCTTTGATCTTGTGCAGGTAGTCGATGACGACTGGATGCTGCCGTGTAATGAGAAAGTATACTTCACTGAAACTTGGATGACCGCTAAGTGCACAACCAAGAGCGCCAACTCAACAGTTCTGAGCCCTAAACCCTAAACCCTAAACCCTAAACCCTAAACCCTAAACCCTAAACCCTAAACCCTAAACCCTAAACCCTAAACCGCACTCAGAGCCACACCCAGCTGGCCAACCACCCAAGGCTGCGGTGCCCTGCAAGGTCTTTTCTGGCACTCTCCAGCCACCAGTCTTAGCCTGAGGCTGCGTTCCACATGGGAAAGCAAAAGATGCTCGGGTTTAGGGTTTAGGGTTTAGGGTTTAGGGTTTAGGGTTTAGGGTTTAGGGTTTAGGGTTTGGGGTTTAGGGTTTAGTGTTTAGGGGAAAATTTCTGGCTGCTCTCGAAGAAGAAGCTTGATGCTTGTCGTACCAGAACATTCCCATCGTTGCCACGTTGACCATGAGGAAGGCACCCTGAGATCTGCCAGGAGGTGGCAGTGCAGAGTCTAGCCGATGCCTAAAGATCCTCTTAAAGGGGTACCTCACCCTAAACCCTAAACCCTAAACCCTAAGTTCTCCTCCTCCACAAACCCCGAGGAATCCTTCTGGCAACACTGCAAAGTCGTCCTCTTCCTGCTCATGGCTGCTTCACGTGCAAACACTGCAAACATGTCGAGACTTGGGTCCAAGATGAATGCAAACCCTAAACCCTAAACCCTAATGCATCCCAGATGCCAAAGCTCCCAGAAGTCCAAACTGCTTGCAAGATGATGCCGCACCCGACAGAGATGATGCCGCACCCGACAGGTCCATGGCTTCGAGTTCTCTCAGCTCTAAGGCTGGCAAGCTAGTCACAGCTAGTCAGGATGTCACCTCTCGCTCTCTGAGCGTCAGCATCAAAAGCTGTCGCCTAGATCAGGTACCCCGAGATGTGCGCCAACACTTTTGTGGGGGTTTTCGAAATAAGGGACCCGTCATGTAGCCCCAAATGGTAGGAACCCCTTACAATAAGGACCGCCAAAAAGGAAACCCCTTTTCTCGGAAAACCCCCATGTAACACCAGACCGACTTGATTATTGTCGTCTTCTGCTGGCTGCAGCTGTACATGAGGAGCCACAGGCCGGCGCGCTCGTGCTCTCAGAGCAAAGAAGAACCCGTCCCTAACCCCTAACCCCTAACCCCTAACCCCTAACCCCTAAACCCTAAACCCTAAACCCTAAACCCTAAACCCTGAAACATCACAGAGGGCGCGCACCTGACAAGAGAGAGCTGCAGGTGCATGTCGGAAGCACCTCAGAGGAGACATCAGCTTTCTAAAAACATCCGGTTTAGGGTTTAGGGTTTAGGGTTTAGGGTTTAGGTTTAGGGTTGAATATATATATATATATATATATGCTGCAGGTATGGTATAAGAAAAGCCAGCAAAGCAGATGTAATCTAAACAGCATATGATAATCGCTCAAACGGTATGATCTAAACCCGTATGAGTGTATGTATTGTCAAATCCATACAGAATACATCTAGAAATTAATAAGCAAAACTATATGTAAATATATACACATACATATACACAGACATACGTTCATTGATAAGCATAACTATATGTCTATGAATATGCATGTGCTATTTCATGTGTGAGGAAAAGTGAGACACCTTGGCAGCGGGCTTGAGGCAGCAGACTGAAAGAAACTCAGCGCAGCGCATTCATGGTACCCAGAATCCACGGCCGTGGGAAAATGGATGGTCAACGGACCGACCTTCCAACCAAATCGGTGCAACAGGCATGGAATCCTGGAACCCCAATCAGCATCTTGGGAAGGCACCGAACCACGGACTGAAAAGGCCAGCACAGCACCGGCAGCAGGGCTTGCAAGCTCTCCGCCAAACTCGGGAACGATGGAGTACCTCGCGCCATTCCATGGAATTTTCTACGTCTGACGGCTAGCAGAAAAGAATCGAAGTACTGATCTGGTGAGCAGGGTGCGCTTCTGCGGCTGCCACGAAGTCGGTCCGTGAAGCCCAGTTCATCATCATGGTCACCACGTCTCTTGTGTCTGTCCATGACATGAGGTTGGGATGCCCCCCCCTATACTAGCAGTCCTTAACAGGGATCATGATAGGGGGTGGAATAATCCCTACAGAGACTGTTAGTCTGAAAGGGGAGCATCCCAAACAGAAGGGTCAATCAACAGGACTACCCAGAGGATTTCGGATTTCCCCTTCAGATGCGCTGCTCAAGGCCGCCCCAAGGCCAGAGCAACTGGCCTGGCACCGCGCCACGATTTTCGGCATCCAGTCTCAGGCGCAATACCGCCAGAGGATCCGGATTGCTGACCTGTCACTTGGGGGAAGTACGAAGATAGGGGCACCTCAAATTTATAGGCCCCCCAAACAGTGGGATCCTCTTCTACGAAGGACCCCAATAAGGTACCCCCGAATTTCGGAAACCCCCCACTTCTACAATTGTCACAGATCATCTAACACCCTAAACCCCAAACCCCAAACCCCAACCCCCAAACCCGAAACCCCAACCCAAAACCCGAAACCCTAAACCCTTAACCCTGAACCCGAAACCTTAAACCCTAAACCCGAACACGTCCCGCGAGTGCAGAGACAGGGCCTGGCTAAGGCGGCAGCCTTTGCCCTCCCAAACAGCAACCTGCTCTCAGCCCAGGCACCCTAAGGGTCCATGTACCCATATAGCATGATTAGAATATATATATATATATATATATAGTATATAGTATATATATATAGTATATATGTATATATATATATTATATATTTGGGCCCTAAAGCTACTATATGGGAACCCCAAGTATATGCCATATAGGCACATGGACCCTTAGGGGTAGGATGCAGAATCCACAGATCCACAGCGTCGCGAGACCGTGCCTCCACTGCCAGCAAGGGACTGCCAGGTGCCGCTGTGCAGCTGGACACGTCGCGAAGCGCCAGAGATGGAGCTGTGATGAACACGTCCACCTTGCGATTGAGACGCTTTCCCTAAACCGCTAAACCCAAAAACCTAAACCCGAAACCCTACATGGCGTGCGCTGAAAAACGCCGGAGTATTTGCAACAACTGCCGACCTGTCCAGCCCACAGGCCCAACTGAATGGCCAACCTCAGGTCGGAGACCATTCTTAGTCTTGCCCTAAACCCTAAACCCTAAACCCTAAACTCTAAACCCTAAACCCTAAGCCCGAAGGGTCCATGTACCTATATAGTATATACTTGGGCCTTCAAGAGGTTCCCATATAGTAGCATAGTAGCTTTAGGGCCCAAATGTATACTGTATGGGTACATGGACCCTTAGGATTGCTACTGCTCTGAAGATCAGCACTCTTGATGTTTGCATTCTTAACATTCTTCGGTATGACCTGGGTTTATTCTTGTACATCGGAGTGTTGAAAGCAGCCCAAGAGGAGTCCCAACAATTACAAAAAATATGGTGTGCAAATCCAGGTCCATGCCCCATAAAGTATTCAGGGTGCGGCTCTCTTCGTTCGGGGCTCAGCAGGGGTTTAGACATGCATGACACTCCCAGGATTCCAGGCTTCCATTTTGCCAGCATGGTTGGCAAGCTTGATACGATTGCTACGATTACTGCTAGTCTTGTTGTTGTTACTTGGTATTCTCATGATAGTTGCACTTTTAGCACTTTTATGAGTCTTGCTGTTATTCTGGCTATTGTTCTTTGAAGTCCCCCTAAACCCTAAACCCTAAACCCTCCTGCTTGGCGCTCGACTCCAGGGTTGTCTGCGTGCTGGCTGCCTGTCATCTTGTCCCGAGTCTTCAGGGCTCTGTCCGCTACGCCTTGTCTGCTACTTCTGCAGCAGCGAAAACAGCAAGAACCATAAGAGCAAGAGGCATAGTCATGAGAACAAGAGCAATATCCAGAGCAACAACTATGATTCAATGATGATCCTTTCGAAATCCTAAGCCCTAAACGCTAAACCCTAAACCCTAAACCCTAAACGCGAAATTTCGAGAGCCTGCACCGTGGCGCGGAGCTGCCTGAGGCTCGCCATCGGTTTCACGGCCAGAACGTCCGAGGCCACAAGGAGGGTTCCTGGCAGCATTGTTGGGGCACGGTTTAGGGTTTAGGGTTTAGGGGTTAGGGCATGATCATTTTTGTTCCTTACTGGGTTTATGTACTCATAAATGTAACATGATTTTCAACAATGCCCCAGGTTTCTGGCGTGGTGAGGACATGGGCTACAGGATCACTTGGAGGTTCATGGTACTTACACACCCAATTATGACTGTACTTATAACCCACTTATGAGCCCCTTAAGTGCCCTGATATGGTTAGAATTGAGTTCTAGGTACAGTTGTTATTGAACCTCCCCCTAAAACAAACCCTAAACCCTTCAAGTAGAGGTTCAAGGTTTAGTAGGAACGGACCGATACGACCATGAAACGGCCTCAGACATCCTCACACTCACAACCTCCCTCAGCGCCCTGGGAACTCGATACATACTGATGTCATGTGGCGCTCCCACCAAACCTCCTAAACCCTAAACCCTAAACCCTAAACCCGAAACCCTAAACCCTAAACCCTAAACCGAATCACCCTAAACCCTAAACCCTAAGCGCCTCCTGCAGAAGCCTCATGCGCCAACGCCCAGTCCGCTGACAATCCGTAGCTCGGTGTTGGGAGTCTAAGGCTGAGGCCTTCCCGAACAGGACATGACCACACAAGACGGCTTTCGGTGCAAGATGGAAAGCACGTACATGCTGATCAAGTCGCTGAATGTCTGCTGTCCCGATGAGCTGGAGGAGTCTGCTGTCGCAGTGCATTCGACACCTCGGGAAGAGCGGTGTTACGTAGCGAAGTTATTGACTACAATTTACATTCTCAAGGGGTATGAGGAGGGACCCCTGGAAGGGACCCTTTATCTTATTCCCCTATACAACCCCTACATTATATATATATATATATATATATATATATGCTACCCCCCCCCCCCCCCCGGGTTATCCACGCTTTTTTGTGGTTTTCCACGCTTTTTGTGGTTGCGAGCCAATTAGATCGCTCACGGGCCGCGGTGACCCCTGAACTCCCCCCCTCCTCCAATAGCCCAATCCCCTACATAACGTAAATGCATGCAATCCTTGAGATGTCGAGTCCTCTCCATCTGTCCAAACACTGGGCACAGCGACCTTCTCCCCTCCCCTCCCTTCCGCTCCGCTGCGCTCCCTGGTTCTTGCAAAGGCTTTTTTTCAGGGCTAAATCTCTAAACCCCTATCGGTTCAGGTTTAAGTCTTATAAAAAGAGAGGCACTGAAACCCTATAGGGTTTAAGGCTTCAAGCCGATAGGGTTTAGGGTTAAACCTGAACCTGAACCTTTAGATCCATAGGGTTTCAAGGTTAAGCAATTACACCTAAACCCTTAACCTTTAATCCTATACGGTTAATAGGTTTGAAGATTTTAAGATCTAGGTATTTAAACCTAAGCCCATAGAGTTTAAACCTCAAGGGTTTACGGTTTAGGCATCTAAACCTGCACCCTTTAGGGTCAGAACCCTAAAAGCCTATAGGGCTCTACAAGGCTGAAAAGTTTTAACCGCATAGGCGCTGAAGGTATGCATGCCCAGACCTTAGGTTTTCAAACCTTTAAATCCCATAAAGTCTAAAGGTTTAGGGTTTTTCAAGGTATCTCTAAAGCCCTCACGGGGCTAGCCCGATAGGGTTTAAACCCTATAGGCCTATAGGGTTCAACAGTTTAGGGCTTTAGGTTTAGGCACTGCCTATAGGATTAGAGCCTGAAAAACCCTATCAGGCTTGAGGCTTAATTCCCTAAACCTAAGATCCCACATGGTTTTGCCTCTGTTTATAGGGCTTGGTGGAAATGCAAAGAATAAGCAGAATAAGTACCCACACCATGTATCGGGTTCAAAAGTTTAGGGGTCTTAAAGGTTTATAAGCCCATGGAGATAAACCGTAAGGGCTTACGGCTTAGGCATTTGAATCTAAATCCCAAGCCCTTTTGGGTCAGAACCCCTGAAAGCCTATGGGGCTCTAAAAGCCTCAAAGGTTGTAGCCCTATAGGCTCTGAAGGTATACATGCCCAGACCTTAGTTTTGTAAACCTTTAAATCCCAAAAAGTTCATCTCTAAAGCCCTCACGGGGTTAGCCCGATAGGGTTTAAACCCTATGTACCCTATAGGCCTATAGGGTTCACATGTTATGGTTTAAGGTTGAGGCATTACGGCTAGGATTAGAACCTTATAACCCTGTGTACGACTCACCTTTACGTACTATTTGATGGTTCTGTTTCCCCTGTTAAAGCTTCAAAGATTTTAAAGAATTTACAAAGACCCTTCAATTCTTGAAAACCCTGTAAACTCCTTAACATACTCTGGCTTTCAACTGTTTAAGGATGTTAAGGAATGTAAAAGGCCACTTAGATACTTTAAAATCCGTAAAATTTTGAAAAAAATCGACTATTTTGGGAAATGCCCGGCCCTTTGAATTTTTAAAATCCGTACATTCCTTCAAATCCTTGAAATTTTGAAACAAAATATTTATTTTGGGAAACGGCCCGGCCCATTTAAATACTCTAACTATGGTTTCAGCACCTCTAGGGCTACAGCCTTCTAATCTTTAGAGCCCTCAAGGGTTTTTAGGGTTCTGACCCTCAAGGGTTTCGGGTAATGCTTAAAGCTTAGACCCTATAGGGCTAAACCCTATAGAGCTAACCCCGTCAGGGTATTAGAGATAGTCTCCGGGGAGCCCTAAGGCTTTGGATTGAACTTCAAAACTCGAGACCCTGGATTCAAGATCCCGGGGAAACTTTTCCCGGGAACCTTGAATCTTGAATCTTGAATCCCGGAGTATTGAAGTTCAATCCGGAGCATTGAACTTCAATACTCCTTGTCCCTCATCGTGCTTGACCATTGAGGCCTTGAAATTTAAGTACACTATGCACTCTAGAAACGTCTCTAGAGGTGTAGTATAAACATACAGATAATCAACCAGATATAAATAGAGGAAGAAGGAAAATATAATCAACACGCTGGGGCAAAGAAAACAAATTACGAACGAAAAAAAGAAATACGCAGTGCCAGAACAAGAAAAACACAAAACAAGCAGAAAAGGTGTGGATAACTGGGGGGGGGGGGTACCATATATATATATATATACACCTTATATAGTCCCTATATACCCAAGTAGCCAGAGCACTTACTTTGGTCTACTTCAGGCCATTCCATCCAGGCGCCATTTACTCGAAAGCCTCCCACACGGAGCCAGATGCAGTCCATACTGCCCGGAAGGTTTGTGTAGATCAGCTGTGTGGAGGCTCCCGCAACTGGCAGCCGCGGTTTAGGGTTTAGGGTTATTAGGGTTTAGGGTTTAGGGTTACTGGGGTTTAGGGTTTAGGGTTTTGGGGTTTAGGGTGTAGGGTTTCAGGAAGGAACGAACCACAGCAGCGGAACTATCCTTCTGAGACTGCCAGCGGGTCTGGGGCCTGATACAATGGACGCGTCGGCTGTCACATCGAAGTCGAAAGGTGCCAACGGAAGTGGAGTCAAGGTCAATACCTGATTAGGGTTTAGGGCTTAGGCTTTAGGGTTTAGGGTTTAGGGTGGCTGAAGTTGCTCGGAACGCTGAGCAGCGTCAGAAATGAGTTGAAAACCGTCTGAGGCCAGTCCGAGCAGCATCTCCGAGGGCAAATCCGGCAGACTGGAAGTCAAGCTCAAGCGTGACAGAGGAGCCTCTGCCACATTGCAATCAAAGTTCATGCCCTGGAGGTGGGGGGTTTACGATGATAAGGGACCCCGAATATAGACCCCCACACAAATGGCCGGAATTCCTTATCATAAGGACCCCAAGAAGGTAGCCCCTAAGATCGTAAACCCCCAGGTAAGCAAACAACGCGAAGCCTGTTGGTGTCAACCCGACATCCGGGGTGATGGCAGCGGTGAAGCTGCTGATAGATCCCGGCCGGCCTCAAGCAAATGAACTGACTACATGCGGACATGCTGAGTGACAGATTTGGCAGTTTACGAAAATAAGGGGCCTCGAATATAGTCTCCAAATAGTAGGATGCCAGTACAATAAGGACCCCAATGAAGTGCCCCTAATTTTGGAAACCCCCACTTGTTCTGCCTTCAAGGATACGGGCTGTCGTGGACACCCTGACTAGCAGTAGTGGGACTCAACTCATCAGGACTACAACGGCAGCAGAAGCTGGATAACTTAAGGGCTTCTGATGACTCCCATTTACGCCTTGACCTTGAAGCCTATGCTTCCTGGGAATGGGGCAATGGGGGGGGGGGGGGAGTAGCACGACCCTGCTGAGGCGCACATTTCAGAGGGATCGCTGTGATGCGAAGCCTCTTGGAAAACAGCTTCCGGGTGAGTGTGATTTCACGCGACGGGTATATGTTGTGCAAGTCCAGATGACGATTGTATAATTATACATAGAGACCAGGTCAGCGGCCAGAAGGAGTCTGTGGTACCAGAGGAAGGCGTCCTGGTCCCGAAACATCCTGCGGAGCCGCTCACGATGTTTAGGGTTTAGGGTTTAGGGACAATATCACGTGCCCGGTGGCCCTCACTGCGGCCAATCCTGCGCACCGAAATCGTGCAGGGCAGGTGAACCTCGCAGAAGCAAGAGACCGGAGCTCTCTCGGCCGGCGGGAGCCAGGACACAAAGAGAGATTGAACAAGAGTGCAGCGAGTGGCAGAGAAGAGGCTCACTCAAAGATCGTGACTCGAGCCTTTGAGCCTTTGTCCCACTCTTGTTGCGGGCCTTCCGATGACATGATCCCTGCACAAGGCCTCCGGAAGTTTGCCAGTGCAGCACCAAGGAGAATTGCCAGGGACGCTCTCCACAGCCAACAGGCGCATAGCTGAAGGTGTCAGTCTGTGGCACAGCATCGCCTTCACAACACTAGCGGCTGGGGTTAGTTCGAACAAAAATCTTGAGCCTAAACCCTGCAAACCAATGTTTCTATTCAGGCAGATGGTGGTAAGAAGAAAAGAGCCCTCAACCTCTACAAACCTCATGCGCCTGGACAGCATGTGGATGGGGACATGACCAGCGAACAGCTCCCGGAAGCAATGTTGAAGCCCCGGCAGCCCGCTGTTGTCCCGCATCGCGCCGCCTGGGCCCAGGTTGACAGTACACGAAGGACCTGTACCAATTCAACAGCACCTTCCAATGAACAATGAGAAGCTTCGTTCATCTCCTTCCATCATGCAAGGGAGACTGGGAGAAAATGCGAAAGAAGACCATGCCATCCAGTTGCGCACTCGGACACCGATGACACAGTGGAGCTTGAAGAGGTCGCACAGGCCATCCTAGCGTGCCGGGGGGGATTGTGCGAACCTGATTGCGCATGTCTGCGCGACATGATGCACCGAAACATGCCGGGTGGCTCATCTGCATGCATAACGTAGCCGTCCACTTGGGATGGAAAGGGCGGACAGCCCAACGGGTTGCTGTTCACCTGCGGACAGTTCCGCTGCCTAAATTTGTGCCCCCCCCTTGAGGGCGCACAAACTTGTACTGGAAACCCTGCATTCAACGACTCCAACCAAAAGGGAGGCCAGCTTATAGAACACCCCCTCATGCCCTCCATGACTTAGGTTTTAAAGGTTAACCTTTGGGATTCTAAGGGGAATATATTACCCAAAAAGGTTAAAAGGTTACCTACTCTACTACTAAGATGAAGATCTCAACACTGAGGGGACCATCCTTGGCCGGCGGCCTCGCAGCTGTGGCACTCAACCGCCCACTTCTCCACTTCACACACTTCCAATGTAGGGAAGGTGTGGCAAGTGCCAGCGTCCTTGCCATGAGTGGTAGCCATGAGTCGGCTCACACCTTTTCAAAATGCAGGCTCATGCCAAACCTCTTACACCAGCATCGGGAGGTCCTTGCGGCAGCATTTGTCCACATTCGTGTCCAGATTGCTGTCGGCATCTTAGACCAAACTGCTGCAATCGGGAAATATTCGGTGGTCTCTGCGCCGCTAGAAGGTGTCAACTTTGCAGAGCAGCAAACTCAGAAGGGGGTTTCCGGAAACAGGGTCCCGTTTTTGGCGTCGATGCTAGATAGGGTTGCAGGGTTGCAGGTTTAAGGGATTGTGTTGTCTGGACATTCGTTCTCTGCAGCCCCGGGACCTGCAGTAGACTCATTCAGGCTTCCGCCAATCTTCACGAAGAAGCTGCCTGAGATACGTGGGTGCTGAGCTTCCTGGCAGCTGATTAGCTGCCGATGGTCCCACGGCAGAACCATAGAAACCCCAAGCCCAAAACCCTATAAACCCTAAACCCGAAACCCCATACCCTAAACCCTAAACTCCCTAAACCCTGAACCCTAAACCCTAGGCCGCATCCAGGCGGCCACCCAAAGCAGCCCGGGCTTCGCAGCTGCGAATGGCCGGTGGTGCCAGGTTGTCGGCTCGCAACTCGATCCTCCAGTCAGGATCTGTCTATAGGGTTTAGGGTTTAGGGTTTAGGGTTAGGGTTTAGGGTTAGGGTTTAGGGTTAGGGTTTAGGGTTTAGGGTTGAGGGTTGAGGGTTTAGAGTTTAGGGTTTAGGGTTTAGGGTTTAGGGTTTAGGGTTAGGGTTTAGGGTTTAATGGGGTTTAATAGGGCTTAGGGTTTAGGATTTAGGGTTAAAGGTTACAGGTTTAAGGTTCTGGTCGAGCATGCTGAGGGCCCGGCCAGTTTGTGGCGTTGGAAGGTGCTTCTGCAAGGTCCAGGGTGAGCGATCCTCTGGACAACTGCGGTGACAGGCAAAAAGTCACGGTGCGAAATGAAAGACAAGCTATTCGCCTGCCAAATAAATCTACAGCAAACATCTTCGAAGTCTTAGGGTTTAGGGTTTAGGGTTTAGGGCAACTGAAGCTGAGCGGCGCTCATCGGTCAGGGCACAGCTGGTGAAGGATCCCGAGGCTGCCGCCAGCGCGCAGAGGGGTGGCGAGGACAGCCGAAGCTGAGCGCAAGGCTTGCGAAGTACAGCAAAGGGTTCAGGGTTCAGGGTTTAGGGTTTAGGGTTGCTTGGTACATGTGAAGCTCTCCTAGGGTTTCAAGATTGGCCTCGGCTTCTGGCCGAGCGGCGTCTAGAACAAGCAGACCAGGACCCCTTCCCAACCTCCCCTGTTGCCGGAGCCGCAATTCCTTTGTTTTGCAGATACCAAAAAGCACGAAACCCGGAAACCTGGCCTGAAACCCACCCACCCTCCCCCTCCCCCGTGGGACCCTCTGGTGGGACCCCCTCTTGGGACTTTTCTTGGGAACCCCCCCCCCCCCCCAAACGCTTCCTGGGCCTAGGACCCCCTTCAAACCTCTGCCCTCCTGCCTCATGACCTGATGACGAGAGTGGTGTTGCACAATGTGACATAGGACTTGGCTTTCCTTCGTCGATGCACACGCTGCACCCTGTGTTGGGCCGGCCCGGCTACCAAAACGACGCGCGCAAGGGCTTACAATGGAAGATCCAAGTAGTGCCTGGAACTGGAAATGCCTCCAGAAAGCGCATAAACCTCAAACAATTCTCCTTAGCTTGGAGGCCCTGCCTGCAGCGTGTGCAGCTGTAGCTGCAGCCGAAACGAAGTCGAACCTCTGAGCAACCCGCACAGTTGCGGAAAGCTGCAACCGTTGCTCCGAGCTGATCTGCGGCAAAAGCACCAGCTTCAACATCGGGTGCAGAGTAGGTCAGCAGCAGCTGACTCGGGCTGAACGCAATGCCTGTGATTGAACTGATGGAGCAAGCGAGCTTCAGACTGACCGATTATGTGCCTGTGCTGTCAGGCCGCAATGCAATCCTTTGCCATGCTGTTGTTTAGGGTTTAGGGTGTAGGGTTTGGGGCAGTTTAGGGTTTAGGGTGTTTGCGCAGACAGGGAGGGATCTGTCGGCCAATGCACGATGCCAAAGATGAAGATCAGCCAATGGGGCGGCACGTACGAGCAGACACCTCGGCTTGCAAGCTCTTAATTGGGAACTCGGGAATAGGTCTTCATCTTGTGTCAATATCATTTTTTAAATGCGCATTGTTCATGGATGATATATGGCATCTAATTCCCACGTTCTTATTCATTCCCGCCTAGGAACCACTAAGTACCGGCAAGTAGGATCAACTCTCTTTGACTTGCGCCCGCTTGGCTACTTCTCTCTTGACCTGGCACACGAGTACGATCCCAGCATTTCTATGGACACAACTTCGAAAAACCCTAAACCCTAAACCCTAAACCCTAAACCCTAAACCCTAAACCCTAAACCCTAAACCCTAAACCCTAAACCCTAAACCCTAAACCCTAAACTAAACCCTAAACCCTAAACCCTAAACCCTAAACCCTAAACCCTGCACCCTGCACAGGGTTTTGAGCCTCTGGGGGCTGTGCAGAGCAAGGTCCAGGATGAGCAAAGCGACAGGGCCATGCCGCATCGCGCCGCATCCGCAACCACAGGGGAAGTGTAACAAAATGAGGGAAGGTTTAGGAAGGTTTAGGGTTTAGGGTTTAGGCTTTAGGGTTTAGGGTTTAGGGTTTAGGGGTTTAGGATTTAGGGACAAGCTATAAGGTCACTAGCTGGGAAGTGTGTCATCAAGCTGCTCTCTTGGCTGTGCATGTGGAGAGCTTCTTTGACGCCCACCTGCCTGAGCCCAATACCGCGCAGAGTTCGCTGAGCTCCTATGCTTGGATGGTTGAAGTCATTGCTGCGAAGGTGAGCCAAGGCCATGTACGGACAAATCTATATATATATATGTACATATATATATATAGACGTGCATATATATATATGCATGCATGCATGTATGTATATATGCATGTATGTATATAGGCATTGATGGATTTGCACCGTATATGAAACACATGCTACACAGGTCTCTCTCTCTCTCTCTCTATATATATATATATATGTATATATACACACCGTATGATAGCATATACCGTGTATATAGAGACTTCATTTACAAAATGTATACACTGGAACCTTTTTTCCTCCGAGAGTTGGGCTCACAGGCGTGTCAGCATCACATTGCCATCCTGGACAATTCGCAAAGGCACGCCTGAAGCCTAAACCCTTAACCCTCAACCCTAAACCCTAAACACAGCCTTTTCATCCCCTTTCCCTAAGCACACGAGCACCCCCTGAGCATATCACCGCATGCCGAAGCCATGACAACATGGGATCTCAGCAAGATACTCACTGTGAACCCTAAACCCTAAACCCTAAACCCTAAACCCTAAACCCTAAACCCTAAACCCTGTGTGCACCAGGAAGCCCTCCCCGGCCCCTTTTCGGAGCACCTGGCCGGAGGTGACCAAGTGGCGCTCCGAGAGGAGCGCGGCGCAACTCAGCTTGGGCCCGAGGACCGAAACCTGAGAGACGAGGAATGGGTTTAGGGTTTGGGGTTTAGGGATTAGGGTTTAGGGGTTAGGGTCTAGGGTCTAGGGTCTAGGGTTTAGGGTTTCAACCCTAAACGCTTAGCCCCATGAAACCCGTTAACCCTAAAATCCCAAAAACCAGTCGCAACATAAAAAGTGCCTGTAGTAAAGAACAACCCTCAAGTAGGGTCAGGATTCAGGACCGTTAGGGGTTTCTGCAGACTGTGGGTGTCTGTATGGGGCCGAGAGGTGCAAACCCTAAACCCTAAACCCTAGGCCCTAAACCCTAAACCCTAAACCCTAAACCCTCCCACTGAAAACATAATCTGGGCGTGGCACTCCTCGACCGGAGCTGTGTAGCGCCATCGTGTCCAGCAGTTCCAGATCTCAGCAATTGAAGAGCATGGCACTCTGCACTGGCTTTTGAAAATGGTGGCCTCCTTGTTGTTTTGAGTCGCCCTAAACCCTAACCTTAAACCCTAAACCCTAAACCCTAGACCCTAAACCCCAAACCCTAAACCCTAAACCCTAAACCCCACTGCTATGCTCCCTGAGCCGTCTTTAGTGGGCCCCGGGCTCTTCAAGCTCCACAGCTTCAGTTCCGCAGCCGAGCTTAGTGTTGCCAGCTGCCCAGTCCTTGGTCTTCAGAGTCTCATTGCCTGCTGACAGACAAATGTATTCTATATATGTACACATATGTATCTGCATGTTTTTGTATATTAATATTTGTGTTTTTATCCTGTGTATATATGCGTAGATATATATATATATATATATATATTACCACTATTTACCACTCCACCAAGCTCTGCAGAATCGAACAGTTGGGCCTCGCATTGCAGCAGTGCGCTGCGGCTGACGGTAACAACGACCATTCCCTGGAGAAATCCCCCGGTAGGAACGATTCTCAAGCACGGGTCACGGGCTAAAACCCCTTCACCCTAAACCCTAAACCCTGAACCTGTTTCGGCAAAGGACGCCTGCCAAGTCCATTAACTTCCCAGGCCTTTGAGCATGGGGGTTTCCCAAATAAGAGGTACTACGAGGTACCCTTTTTGGCCTTTTCGGGGGGTTTATTCGGGATACCCCTGTTTTGTGAAATGTCTGCATCTGATAAGCTTTTTGCGTGTTAGCGTTCCAAAAACACGCGAGCACCCGCTGAAGTTTTTCAGACTTTAGTTGGCCTCCCTTCGTCACGTAGTCACTTGGCTCTTGCATCCTTTGCTGCCGGTCGAGGTGCAGGGCCTGCGGGGCCTACATTCTCGTGCAGCGGCTGGCACGTTTAACCCCGCCGCGAACGGTGCAGTGTGGCTACAAGCATACGTCAGCGTGACAGCCTGCAGCATTGTGCGACGAAAGGAGTGGATGCTGAGAACGTGCAACAATAATCAGTATGTGCATGCGTGCAGGTCCAAGTTCACTGAACACAACTGCCCTCTGCACTACACTGCTGCACTGCTACGCTGAAGCTGAGAGGATGTCTTCTGGAGAACGAAGCAGTGCTGCACGGGATCACTGTGAGCCTGGCACAGGATCCATGATTCAGGGAGATCACCGGCTGTGCAATGCAATCCATGTGCTGAACTGCATTCCGACCCTGTATGTTCGTACAACTTGCTGTGGTACTGGTACGACACTTCATAACCGCATGGAGCAAGGCGGTTGGCTACGAACTAGACTACCGTCCGCGAACAGTTTTTGAAGTGTCCATCTTTCCAGCTTGCCTCGAAACGATGTGAGAGCCGTCGCATGCGGAGATCAAACACGCGCAGCTCTCCGGCCTGCAACGAAACAGTACCGAGCACGAACACAGAAACCACATGCAAAAAAGGCTGCTAAAGCTTCCGCACGACACCCAGGTCACCTTTGTGCCACAGAAGATGCGTTGCTGAGATGCAGCCTCAAGAAATGGACAGGTACAAGTCACACTACGGATCAGGATGATTTATGACAGTTCTCGCCAAGACTTGAGCCGCACTCCTGCAGAACTGTCAGTGAAGTACTCAACACTCTGCACAAATCTGCGAGTCGCGCCATAAGCGCCCAACCCAAGCGAGCGCGCAGTACTCCGCAGGCATTGTGGCGCTGGATGCCTCGACTTCACGTCTTAGCTTCGTCAACCTTCTTGGGGTTCTGGAGGTTTTGGTTCAAGATTCTGACCCACGATCCAGGAGGCCTGTGACTGCCCGTGACAAGGCCCGCTAGGCTCGTGGCATCCGCTCCATCGTGCGCAATCAATGACGATGAGCTTGGGGAGACGGTATCCCAGACCTCAGCGGATGTGACAGTGAGACATTGCCAACGAAGCACATGACGCGCACTGCGGGGAAACGTGCCAAATCTGGCGGGTGGCCGAAGATTTCCCAACTACGTAAGAGCAAGACGCAAATTCCGGCAGCGACATGTGGCCAGGCCTTCAACCTTTCGCATTTCGCATGCTGCATGCACAGTCTGTCTCAGAGCTTTCGGACTTTCGGACACTTTCGTCATTCCACAGTCACGGTCCACATGCAACTCAGGGTCCTCAAACCCTAAACCCTAAACCCTAAACCCTAAACCCTAAACTCTTCAAGACCTGAAGCTCCACAAGCACAAAGGTGGCAAGCATGTCGGTTCCGGACGTGGCTGCCGCACTCGGCAGCCCAGGAGTCATGAACTGAGGCCACAGAAATATATGCACATGTTCTTCTTCTTCTTCTACACAGCGAAGGCACCCCCCCCCCCCCCCCCCGAAGACATTTCTCTCTCTCTCTCTCTCTCTCTCTCTCTCTCTCGAAAAGATATTATACATAGTATAATAACGTACAAAGATACCTCTGTTATAACAAATAAATGTAAACAAACATATACATATATATATATAGATAGATAGATATATTAATTATGTATAGAATAGTGCTGAAGATGGAAAGACCTGGTTTGCCTGTCCTTCCGAGAGTCCATATATGTGGTGCTGAGCCCCCACCTCTGCCTCTGAACGTCGTCCGGCTGTGGCAACCACCTGGAGCATAGGGTTTAGGGTTTCAGTGTTTGTAGGGTTTAGGGTTTAGGGCTTAGGGTTTAGAGCCAGACGCGAGGGCGCGAGACGAGAAAACAGAGGATAGCGAGAAAGCAAGAGAGACAGCGAGAGAGGGAGGGGAGAGGCTGCTTGGCATGAGTCAAGACGTCAGCCAACCAGCCCCAAAAGGAGGAGCTCTCGACAACACTATTGACGCATTGAAGCTGTGGAAAGTCCTGCTTGATTTCAACAGCAGCGCGGAAATTCAGGTCATGTTCTCTCAGATAATGCAGAAGTCGAGGTTCCTTATACACGAGGAGCTGTTTACTGGCAGCGGCACCAGTAGATAGTCTGCTGTTTTTGAACAAAATCGGATTAGCCACGAAAGCTGGGATGGTATGGAGTCATGGAGCTGCTTAGGCTGCAATTGGTTTCGGTTAGGCTTCGGGTTTTTGAGTGTCCGACAGAACCCGTGGCGGAAGCAAATGCCGCACAAAGTAGCCGGGCGTGGGCTGAACCTTGCAACATGCCAGCCTGCTACGTTCACATGCACCCATGCTGGCTTGTCTGTGCAGGCTATGCGCTGTGCAAAGCCTCTTTTCCGACACACGCTCGCATGTGGTTTGGAGGCCACCCGATCCCTCAGCCACTCCACAGAGAGCTAGGGGCAACCAAAGATGAGAGCCTGTGCTCTCCCTCGAGTCTCTCCCCAGCCCCTGCAACAGGGCATTCGCATCGCTGGCAATGAACAGCTGCTGCAAAGGCTGCAGAACGGGGCTTGTTCTTTTGTGTTTCATGTCTAGGGTATGTGTTGTGTGAGTATAGCTGTATGATACATGTTATGTGTTTCACATTATGTACTACATGTTATATTGTAACCATACTATGCATAGTATTGTACAGTACACCATTCTACCTTATACTAGTACATTCAGACATATAAGATCGACTGTATTCAATATTGTAGTGTATACTATAGACATTGTTGCCGAGGCATTGGGTCCCGGCATCTTGAAATGCAAGGAGCTTTCTGAGAACTGCTGGTTTTGGGTGTTCAGGGCAGCGGAATGAGCAAACGACAGTCAGCACAGCAGCAGACCTCGTGTAGGACTCTGCTTTTCCACCTAGATGCACTTAGATGCTCTTAGATGCACTTGGTGTCGCTTGGTGTCTTATGGTGTCTTCGCTGCTCGGGCAGGGTCGAGGGTTTGCAGCTCTGGAGGTCCAAAGGCTTCGCGCCAAGCATCTGGGAAGAACCCTCGCATCTCTTTCTGAACCCTTCGGTCGGTGCAGGCGTAAGTAGACCCTAAACCCTAAACCCTAAACCCTAAACCCTAAACCCTAAACCCTAAACCCTAAACCCTAAACCCTAAACCCTAAACCCTAAACAGACTCTACTTCGACCCCTTAGTGCAAGTCAATGCCCCTTTCTGCGGTCCTGTGCAACATTGAAAAGCTGTCCTGTGCAAGGCAGGGCAGGGCAGGCAAGTGCACAAATCTGTTTACAGGGCGCCTGTATGCTTCGAAGAAGAGTGGATGACAAGTTTGTGAGAGAGGGGTTTGGGTGTCACCTGGCCAGATTTAGGTTTGGGAACGTTTTATAGGACGAGGTTCAGGGCTACACATCCCCCAGAGGCAGCCAGTACGCCAAAAAAGCAGTGCCCTGTGCAACTTTCTATCCGCTGACAGGGGCAACAGCCTAGAATACCGTGGTGGCGATGCTTCCACCAATCGGCTCGTAACACGCAAGACCACAACCCTGGCAGCTAGGGTTTAGGGTTTAGGGTTTAGGGTTTAGGGTTTAGGGTTTAGGGTTTAGGGTTTAGGGTTTAGGGTTTAGGGTTTAGGGTTTAGGGTTTAGGGTTTAGGGTTTAGGGTTTAGGGTTTAGGGAGTTATCACCTCGGAGAGCTCCCCGAACCTCCCACCCCCCTTCAAAAAACATCTTCCCTGCGTTGTGTCCTAACTTGCTTGGGGGGGTAGGCGTTTAGGGTTTAGGGTTTAGGGTTTAGGGTTTAGGGTTTAGGGTTTGGGGGACCCCCCCCATGATCCCTGCGCATTCGCCGTACGATGACTCTACACCGCACCATGGTGGAGCCGAGCTTGGCCGATGGTATGGGAGCATTGCCATCCTAGTCTGCTACGACGCAGCCAAAAAACCAACAAGCTCAGAGAGCGCCCGGGGTTTAGGGGTCTAGGGTTTTCGGGTTAGGGTTTTAGGGTTTAGGGTTTTAGGATTTAGGGCTTAGGGCTACAGAAGGGTCAAAGGCTGGATCACACATCCCCCTGAGCCGTGGCCACTACCTCCCGAAGACCAGCTACCTAGAGCTTGGTGTTCAGGAAGCAGGACCCATGCAAACCGATCCAGCTCAATGCTGTCGTGGTGATCGGCTGCCAGCCTGTCAATTCTTCTTTTTTAGGCTCCCATTGTGTGGGGCATAAGAAACGAAGCTCAGTTGTTGCACTGGCTTCACGCTTGCCTTGACGACCAGGGTTCTGCACATTTGGCACGGTAGCTTAGGCCCCTAAACCCTAAACGCTAAACGCTAAACGCTGTTATGGAAGGAGGTCGACAATTTCCGGAACCTGGAGCCATTGTGTCGCATGCCTCCAACTTGCAGCACTCAGGGCCGCTTAGTTGAAGCAATAGACCCTGGTTCCTTAGTAGGGAATGGGGGAATGAGGGCCCTATAGATATACATATATATATATATGTATATCTATATGCTTGAAGGTATGAGGGTACCTCGTTCCCTCATTCCCTACTAGGAACCAACCAGAATAGACCTGTTGGGAAAAAACCTTGGCAAATTGCCAAGGCTCAAAGGCCTCCGGCATGATCAACATGCAATTCGTGTGGCGGGCTTAAGAACTTCCAGAGCCTGACCCCCGCAAACCATAACGAATTGAGAGCCCCGAAACCAGCCAGCTGCGAAAGTCCTAGCTCCTCCATGGCTTTTGGCAGCTCTTTCTTTTGCCACCTCCGCACAATTTCTCGCCAACGCCGAATAAAGCGCTCATGCGGGGGCTCACGATCCTCCTGGAATCATGATCCGGTGCTCAAGAGCAGCCACCCAAACATGGCAGGCGGCAAGAGTTCAGCTTTCCTGCAAGAAAGTGAAATCACGCAAACTCTGAATGTGCTTTCTACCTCTTGCACACCCCAAACCCTAAAACCTAGCAGCAGCGTCCTACGACATGGCGCGCGCGGCTGCGCGGCTGATGGAGGGTAAGGGCCCAGGACTGCCCCGGCTGCCCATTCTCTCGTCCTGCAGTCTGCGGAACAAATCCCAGAGGGTCCGTTTGGGGGTTTACGATATGAGGGGTACCTTATTGGGGTCCTCATCCCGGAGGGTCCATTTGGGGGTCTTACGATATGAGGGGTACCTTGTTGGGGTCCTCATTATATGGGGACCCAACTATTTGGGGGTCTTTATTCTCGTATACTATGATGGAATTAGGTACCCCCAAAACCGTGTTCAGTATGGTTCTTAGGTACCTAATTCCACAGTAATACTACAAATGGACCTCTGGGAATCCTAGCAAACCAAATGGTTGCATGTACGGAGGCAATGCTGCCGCCTCAGCGTACCCTGTGTCTGTTATTGCAAGCTTGCCGAACGAAGTTCCATCAGCGGCCGCAAACATCCTATTGCATTATTCCTTTCATGAAGTCCTTTGCAGACTCTTTCGAGGCATCTCGCGAGACAGGTTCGGCAGGAAACGCAGGAACCTTCTGGACAAATCCACTGAAGCAGCGCAGCGCCAGCACAATTGCAGCAGCAACCGCAAAGCTCCGCCTTGGCTTCCTTTTCAGCCGAAGGGAGCGGCGGCGGCGTCGCAGACCTCGGGGAATTCCAGCGAAACTCCACTGTGCCTCCAATGACGAAGAACTCGGAGCCTACCGAACTTCGCGGACATATGCGGACATTGATGCGCCGAGCATTTTTTCACCAATCCGATCATGAGGATCCTTCCCAAAAATGCAAGACCCAATCGCGGACGCTGACGGTTGCAAGTTGCAACAGCTTGGGTCAATGCCGGGTCCTGTTCTGAAGTACCAGACTCCATTTTTGGACGCCGATCGGTGTTGCTTTACGTTTCGCATCATTCTCCACATCTGACATCTAGTCGAATCGAGTCCGCGCGAGGCGTTGCCCACAACACAGCCCCTACTGCGCGCCTGCGATGTAATCATCTTGGAATGAAGGTCATGGGTGAGGTACATTTGAGAAACTATCGCGGACACTCACGCCGCGAAGCACTTGTTCCACTCTGCCCCCTTCATAGGGAATGGTAACCCTAAACCCTAAACCCTCAATCCTGACATGAGCCACAAGCACAAGATCATAACAGTCCAGCGTGTGCACAGCCTTGCCAAACCTGTGGCACATGGCAAGAGGTTCCCCAGAGGGTCCATCTGTAGTACTGTAACTAGGCACCCAAAAACAATACTCCATGGGTTTAGGGTTTAGGGTTTAGGGTTTAGGGCTACCTGTTTCCATAGTTGTACTACAAACGGACCCTCTGGGCTAGGAAGTCAGCCCAGGCGACGGAGGGTGGTCTCTCAGTTCACATCCCCCGGCCACAGTATACCCGCATACGCTTACATTGGGTTTAGGGTTTAGGGTTTAGGGTTTGGGGTTTAGGGTTTAGG